ATGGGTCTGGAGACATTATTAGCTAATTTAATTGGTATTTATAGAACACTAGAGGCCTGATGCATGCAATTTGTGCATGAGTAGGCCTTCCTTCCCCTGGCTGCCGGCACCAGCTTTCCTCTGGCATCGGGACTTGGGCTGGCTTCCCTCCGGCCCTGGCTTTGTCCTAAAGGACATCCAGTCTAATTAGCATATTACCCTTTTATTATTATAGATTACAACCAATAACAGCAGAATATACATTCTTTTTAAGTACACAGAAATTTACCACAGTAGATCTACACATAGATCAAACTAGTCTGGAATAATCTACCGTAAATGTATGTAAACCACAGAAAATATGCTCTCTGATAAAAAAAATAGTAAGTTAGAAATAAATAACAATTTATAGAAAATCTTCAAATATTTGGAAATTAAATACCTACTTTTAAGTAAATCTTGGGTCAAAGAATATATTAAAATGAAAATTTGATATTAATTTAGCTATATAAAAGTCAAACCACAAAACAAGTCAAAATTGAGCAATGCTATGAGGACTTAAAGTCAATGTAAATGGATAGCCAACCATTAATGGATAGAATCTTAACTACAATGTATTCAAGACATGTTTTAAAACAGTTCTCTAAAATTGGTAGACAAGGTCACCTTATTAATGGAGTACATGAGGCAAGAAATTATTTTTTAAGGACCATATAATCAAAATGATTAGAGCTTCAGGAAACTATTTCAACACCATCTTGTTCTTTTGAACTCCAGACAGATTTTTTTATTCATCTCAGAAGTCTACTCAAAGATGACTTAAGATTGAAACTCAAAAGACTCAACTTTGGGGGAGAAAATTACTTACTTTTTCTATTTTGTTTAGATAATATGATTAGTAAAACTAATTAATGCACAAGATGTAAATAATAATAATATAAACCAGGTTTGAGGTTAGGAAAAAACGAAACTCGAGGAATGGCAGATCTATAGTAGTATACCAACTATTTCTTGAAGTTAGTACAACAAACTTCAGTAAGAAATATTTTATTTGTTTAATGATTCTGAGGTTTCAATTCCAGTATAATTTCTGATAATTTACCTTGCTGATGAGCTACAGTTTATTGCCATCTATTCATGCAGTGAATTGAAAAGCTTGTTATACCCTGAGTTATTAACATGCTAATAACTTTTAATGTTTGGTTTACTGCAGTCAAAACAATGACTAGCTGTATTATTTTTATTTTGGATAAATTAGATTTTAATTCTTGATGAATTTATTCTCAGATTCATAAGTCCCTAAATTTATACTAAATAAATTCTGTAAAAACGTTGCAGGAATATAAAAGACATTGAGAACAATAATTATCTAAATTACTTGTTATTTGCCTTAAACACTTTTTCTCCCAAGGAACACAGAGCATTAAAACAAAGTAAGACAGAATCAGTTTACTAATGCATTTTATTTTTATACTAAACTAGAGGCCCACTGCACGAAATTCGTGCACAGGTAGGGTCTCTAGGCCTGGCCTGCGATCAGGGCCAATCAGGGCCTTCCTTCACCCAGCTGCCAGCTGCCAGCTGGGGCCTTCCTTTGTTCTGCGCCTCCCCCTGGTGGTCAGCACATGTCATAACGAGCGGTCGAACTCCCGGTTGGTTGAACTCCCGAGGGGACAAATTGCATATTAGCCTTTTATTATATAGGATAATTGCTATTATATAAGTGAGTAAAGATCGTCATTAATAGGCTGTAGGCCAGACCCAGCTGAAATGATATATTTTGATATGCTTTCTTCAATAGTAGTTCTACATATTCAAATAATGTTTTTACATAATTAGATTCATACTATGTATGCATTTTTACATGTTGGTAAATACATGGGTCATGAGCATTTTCCAGTGTCATTAAATATTCTTCAAATATGAATTTTTATTGTTATGCAATTTTTATTATATTTATGTACCATAATTTAACTAGCTAATATTTGTTATTAGCTAATTTCTCTTTTCTACAATATATTATTCTATAACTAGAGGCCCAGTGCACGAAATTCGTGCATGGGTGGGGGCCCTAGGCCTGGCCAGTGATCAGGGCCCATTGGAGCCTTCTCACCTAGTCCCGATCAGGGCCAGGCTGGCTAGGGCTGGCTGGGGTTTGCTGGCTGCCAGCCAGGGCCTGGGGGCCTGTGGATGGGGCTTGCCAGCTGCCGGACAGGGCTGTAGGGGTGGGAGGAGGGACCTCGGGAGGTTTGCCAGCCAGAGGGAGGGACCAGGAGAGGTTGGCTGGCCATGGGAGGTTGGCTTTGGAAGCACAGTAACCACCAGGGGGCAGCTCCTGCATTGAGCATCTGCCCCCTGGTGGGCAGTGCACATCATAGTGACTGGTCTACCTGTCCTTCTGGTCATTTGGTCGTAATGGTCGCTTAGGCTTTTATATATATAGATGTCTCATTATTCTAATTTCATAATATTATTAATAATTTTAAATGAGCAAACCATGTGTGACAATCTCTTAATTATTCCCTTAATTTACATTTCAAGAAAAAGAATTACTGAGTAAAATGGCTTGAAAATTTTTAAAGCTTTGGCACAGTTCATCAAATTGCTTTATAGAAATACTAGAGGCCCAGTGCACGAAATTCATGCACGAAACTTATTCCTAGGCCTGGCCAGCAATCAGGGTCGATCGGGGCCTTCCTTTCCCAGCTGCCAGCTGCCGGCCGGGGTCTTCCTTCGTTCCACACCACTCACTGATGGTCAGCGCACATCATAGCGAGCAATCGGTCTCCTGGTCAAACTCCCATGGGGACAATTTGCATATTAGGCATATATATATAATACATTCCTACTTAAGATTTTATTCATCTGGCAACTAACATTGGAGCATTATCATGCCTCATTTGCTTTTCTTTAAAACTATATTTTAGTTTTTAAATTTGCATAACTATTAAGGATGATCCCATCTTACATGTTTCAATAAGCATATAAACAATCTATCACTGTGTTAATATTTTCAATTCATTCTCTTATTTGTGGAAAATAATTATATTAATTAAAACTTTAATGAAGTAAAAATCTGATTATCAGCCACACTCTAATTTTTAATTAATTTGAACACCCATTCCTGGCAAAAACTCTTTTGGAGTTTTTGAATTCAAAATTAATTTTAAAGATTTTAATGAAATAATAGTGTAATTTGAAATATTCATAGAGTAAATATTTTTTAAACAACTTTTAAAAATAACAGGAATAAATATTACATGCAATCAAAATAGGTCATGCAAGCATATTTGTTGACTATGTTTAGGTAATTAAAATAGAAGACAGACAATGTGATGAAATTATTTGATAGGGAATAACAATATTTGTTACGTATAATTTTATATTATTTAATTGAAAATAGATTCTTAGGGCCCTAGCTGGTTTTTCGCAGTGGATAGAACGTCGACCTGTAGACCAAAGGGTCCTGGGTTCAATTTTGGTCAGGGGCACATACCTTGCTTAGTTGCAGGCTCCTCCCCGGCCAGGGCCCTGGTCAGGGTGTGTGCAGGAGGCAACCAATCAATGTGTTTCTCTCACTCACGTCAATGTTTCTCTCTGTCTTTCCCTCTCTCTTCCACTCTCTCTAAAAGTTCATTGGAAAAATATCCTCGGGTGAGGATTAAAACAAACAAAAATAGATACTTATGAAATGTTATTATCATAAAGGATAACATCCACAAAGAAATAATTATACTTTGTTAAACAGATCTCTTTCTAAAGTCTGTTACATATTCTTAAACTCTTATTTTTAACTGGTTGGAAGGACATAGGAACATTTTTGCTACAATGTAGGAGACCTAGTCAAATGCATTAAGATAAAAGACAAATACTGTAGCTTTGGTGATTTTAATTTCTCCCATTCTAGACCTGGCTGACAGATGTAAATGCATGTATTATAACAGGATGTTACAATACATGAAACACAGACTTTCTACATTGTGATAAATTAACACAATTCCCCCACCCCAGAGTGTTTATAAAGCATGCATAATGAGTTACTTAGCAAATGAGAATTCTGCATGGTTTTTACGGTATCATTTCTGTACATCAACTGAAAAACAGACTGATTCAGCAATCATCAATAAGCTACCTACCTCTTAGGGCACATTAGCACCTCCAGAAAATATTACAGAAAAGCAAATCACATAATGCTGCCTGAGTTTATAACTGGCTCCAGCACTTACTCACTATATGACCTTGGGCCCAACTTTAAGCTCACCATAGCTCTATTTCCTCATTGTGAAATGGTGTATTAATACTAATTTTCAGGGTTGTAGCAAGCATAAAATTGGTTAGCACATGAAAAGCATATAATAAGTGTTGCACAAAATTCCCTGTTGTTTTTCTTATTTGTTCCAAATGGCAATTTTTATTATACTAATTAAACATACTTTATGTATATGTCTCCAAACAGAGTGTAATTTGATTTACAAAACGGCAGATAAGTAGAAAATACTACTTAAAAACACCATTTAACAAAAAACTACTTCTTCCTGGACGTTACCCTCCACTTTAATACTTGATTTAGTAAAGTGGCAAATTGACTGTCAGATCTAGATTTGGAAACCTAGATCTAGATCAGTTTGCATTGCCAGGACTTGGGGACCAGTTGTGGAGTTAGACCCCGTTGTGCACATTCGAGAGGTGAGTCGTCATGGGAGACCTGCCAACCAAACTGCAACCCTGTATCTTAGATTAATTTTCATTTTTTGGCTTTATTTTGAGTAGATGTGTACCAAGAAAAAGTTGTGTAAGGAAGCTTTTTTGTGATGAATGGATATTATGTCAGAACTGTGACAGCTCATAATGTGGAGTGGAATTCTTTCTCTCCCCTCCCCCCCATCATTTCAGATCATTTGGAAACTGCATTAGTTTGAAGATGAAAATGACTTCTGCATAATAATTCGTTAATAGATTTCTTTATCTTTCAAATTTACAAAGTTTTAAAATGTATGCCTATGTATTTTTTTCTTCTTTAGAGCTGGGTAGAGAGAGCTGAAAAACAGGCTCTTCTCTCCGATACACTTGACCTATCAGAACTCTTCCACCCAGACACATTCCTCAATGCTCTTCGCCAAGAAACTGCAAGGTAATTAAAATGAAATAGTTGTTTGTCCACGAGGGTAATTATACTTTCCTTTATTCACTTTTGATCGCATTCCCTTGTGAAGAAATAAAGTAATTGTTAAATCCAGATAGTTGTATTATTTCCTAATACTTAACTTTAGTAACACAGTTTACCACTAGTTAAAAGGCATAACTTTTGTTTGTTTATTAGAATTTAAAAAGGTAAAATTTAACTTTTTAAAATTTTTGATTATTTATCTAGATCTTTTGTGTACAGTATGGTAGGCAGAAGTCAAATGGAGCTAATTAAATTAAAATGAATCAAAATTAAATATTATTTTAAATGTAACTTCTCAGTCATATTACCCACATTTGAAGTGCTCAAATAGCCACATGTAGCTAGTGGCTACCATTTGGACTGCTTGAAAATGTTTTTATCTTTCCAGAAAATTCTGTTGGATAGTGCTAACTAGGCTTCTTGATAGGGAACAGTATTTGATGATTAAGATCAAGTTATTTTTTTATAACATTTGGATTATCATCTTGTATGTAGACTATAATTTTTAATAAGATAGAATGAGGGGAAAAAGAGACACTTCCAAAAATATATTGGATAAAATTTAGTTGTTGTTTAGTGATTCAGGGGGATCTTAATTTATAATGCCTCAGGATCATTATAAATATTTCCATTCAGCTAATAACATTTATGCAACACCTATCATATGCCTGAATTTGAGGCTGATGGTCAAAATGGAGGATATAAAAATAAAAATGATAAAGGCCCTATCCTCAAGGAATTTGCACAACCTGTTAACTTTAAGAACTTAGTGTGAAGTCTGACTTAAGATATTTTATTATTTGTACATTATAAAATTTTAATTTTAAATAAATAGAAATGTATTTATCTTCATATTCTACTTCCTGAATATTATTTCTTTCTGAATTGATGTTTTACTTTTATAGGGCAATGGGCTGTTCTGTGGATAGCCTTAAATTTGTAGCTTCATGGAAAGGTCGACTGCAAGAGGCCAAGCTGCAGATTAAGGTAGTAAACTAATTTTAAATGTTTTTCTAAGTCTAAAATGTATATTTTGGCCAGCTGTGATGAAAAGATTCTATAACTCCAATTTCAAAGTCACCTGTCTTTGTAGTGTAAGACCCACAGAGATAGATTAGATTGTATTACCTACGTGAAAAATCAGCATGAGTTAAGATTTAGCATGAAACAACTTGTACACAATATAATCTTTTCTAATGCAAAAATAAGAATCTTAGGGATACAATATATTTGAAAATAAAGCTTTTGGTAAACAATGATACACATCTTGAAATTATATTTGATTATCTTTTGTAAAATTCAATTAATATTTGCTATATAATAAAGAATATATAAATGTAACATATAAAAATAGACCAGGAGATCCAAGACGGCAGTGGAGTAGTTGGAAGTTACATTCACCTACTCCCAGGACCAAACTGGAATTACAACTAAAATGTAAAACAATCCACCTGAATGACCAACTGAAGACTGCTGGACGTGTCTTATAACCAGATGTTATGTGGGCACATCTTCCTTGCTCTGCGGCTCTGAGCCTGGTATGGGTTGAGACCCTACACTCCTCGGGGGGAGGAGGGGGAGGGCCTTTGCAGCTGAGATAGCCGTAATCTCAGCCACCACCCATGACAGTGGGACCAACCTTTTCACACCTCTGCCCTTCCTACCAGTCTCGATGAAGGAAATAAGCAGGTTACAAAATAGTATAATGAATTATGTTACCATTTGCATACAGTTTGGAAATATGAAAAAAATACTATTTATTGTTTATGGATACATGTATATTAAAGAATCATGAAAAACTAAATTCAAGGTAATGGGTCAGGTGAGAGCAGAAGAGGAACAGGAAAGATAAGATATATCAGAGGACTTCAGCTATATTCATTAGGGTTTATTTGGGAATATGGAATAAACATGGCTGCATATTAAAGTCTAATAAAAATGAGCAGTAAATATATAGCTAAAATATTTTTATGATTTTATGTGTGTTTGACATATTTTTTAATTTTTAAAAGGAGGGTTCTGGCAAATAAAGCCATATAATAACTTATCAAAATAAAACTGAGTTTATCATGAAATTCACTGTTAAATCCAAGTTAAATTCAACTTAAAATCGGAAGTATGCAGGAAATGCAACATCATATATGAAATAAGTTAATGACTTAATTATGTTTTTAGTGAACAAAGTTACTACTATTACTGTTGCTAACCACTTTAGAGGTGAGAAGAGTTGAATAAGACCTTATATGTATGAACAGCCCTTTCAAAGTAGATTAGGTTATGGTAATCAGTTATTTGGAATATACTTATGTAATTGTGGCCAACCTAATCCCCACTATCCTCTTAAAATGTTTTGAAACTGTAAAGAAAACCAAACTTTATTTTAAATCTTCAGGTGTTTTAATCAGAGGTTCAAGTATGACTAACATTATTTGAGTATAGATTTTTTGTTTTGTTTAATGATTTTATTCAGTTTCTGTTTTGTTAAATTGAAAGCTAAGCAAAACAAAAATAATTAGAGGAAATTATATTATGACAAGAGATGCACATTTAAATGCCTTTCACTTAATTATTTGCATTTGACCCAAATAGTACATTTGTACAGATGTTTTAAAATTCTTGCAGCACACTGGTTGAAAATTGCTGATCTAACGTAATTTTGGAAAATACTTTGCAAATTGAATATTATAGGCAAAAGTTTCTTTGACCAGAATTTTTCAGATAATGTCCACTCAAACCTTTATTTTGCCTCACTTAAGTGGATACACTATATAAAATAATTATAAATGTCTAGAAATTAGGAGATGGATTAGATTAATGAACAATAATAGCTAATACTTTTGAGCATCTACTATATATCAGGCAATTTTCCAGGTATTTTAAATATATTGTTAGAGGGAATTCTTATTTCCCACTCTCATTGTTTTCGTCTGTGTGGAGAGAGATTTACTAATGTGGATGCTCTTAGACTCCTCTACTTTCTCCTTTCCTCCTCCCTTTCTAGGAAGAAGTCACTTTATCTGATTATGAGTCTGAGCCAGGAACCCAGGGCTGAATACCACACTTCCTTATGCTTTTCTCTTGGGTGTTCACATTCTGCTCTGTTCCTTCAGGGTCGTTTCTGCACTTAGTACAGCTGGCTCCTTAGCTTCGTCCTGTTGCAGCTAGAAGTTAAGCTGGCCAAATTCTTGAGTTTGATATTGGAAAGTCCATTTGCCTGGAGACTTGTTATATCCTCTAAACGATTTTTTTTCAGTATTAAAAATAATATCTGGGGTTTATCTGCTTTTATTTCTTCTTTTAATGCAGAATTCCAGTAGCAACAAGGATATAGTTTGTTGATACCACTCCAACTCCTGATATATTACCAGTTTCGTATATGTTTTCATCGCATTTTCAGCAATAAGAATGTCTTTAATTCTGCAAATTACTTAAATTTTCAAATAGGTTAGTGATAGAGGATATAGAGAGAAAAGAGCAGATTTGGAAAATGTTTGTTAGATGTGGCAGGAAGTGGTAGTTGGTGGCATGTGTGAAGTTTAGGAGAAGGAGCCAAGAATGTTTCCCAGGTGTCTGATTAAGCAAATGCATGGACAGTGGTGCCAATTATTGAAATAGTCTCCAGAAACCCTTCCACCTCCTGGTTAGGAAAGGAGTTTCTATCTTAGTATATGCATAGATCATAGTCAAGTTGTGGCACTACCAATAGGGACTGCTTTTATAAATTGCTTTTCTAAAATAATTGAGCTTAAAACTTAATAAAATTTCTAGAAGAGGCCTTAGAAGAACTATCCTACCTAGGGAGTTTCTTACACTGAAATTACTAGGCACTCACTAAATTTACATTTTTTTCAAGAGCAAAATGACTTGAGTAACTCTTGAAGTGGCCTATATAGCATCACATTAATGCTATAGTAGGAAGAATATTGAATTTAAGGATTAACCAATTATATTCTTATCCCAGCTCTTTCACTAAGAAACAATTGCTTATCTTTTCCATGGTACAGCAACCCAACTGTAAAATTTGCTATTCAAAACTGTCAAGGCAGACTCTCCTAGTACCTCCTTGTTCCTAAACCATTCCTAAGCTATACTATAGCAGAAAATGATTTTAACTCTACTAACTTTAAGTGTTAACTGTGACTCTTAAATTTTATACTTTCATTTAGTATGTTAAAACTTAGGTACTATGTAATATTTGTAAGATTTGTTTATATTTTCTATCAAGTTTAGGAGAATATAGATTGTTTCTGAATAAAAAATACTGACTTTACATCTGTTGCTTTTAGATAAACTCAGGGTAGATTAATACAGCAGAAACTGAAAGAATGAACACAAACAAATATGACACGGAATCACCAAAATTATTATATTTTTGTTTTCATAACTTCTTAAATTTATATTAAGATTAATTTGAAAAAAGAGATTAACTTTTTCTCCTTTTTAATTCTTTCAACTTTGCATGACATATCAAGAATTATTTGCATCAAATTATCTGAATTTTTTTTCTGTTCTTTAAAAAAATTATATTAAAATTCCAATCAGGGAACACATGTTCTTGTTCTGTAATTGTGCTTTTCTTTCCCCTCCTGGAGAAATAATAATTTTTTGGCTTTTACCATTATATTTCTGCATTTATATAACGGATGGAACTTGCATTTTTTCCTAAAACTTTTACCAAAATTGAGAATTCAGTGTAAAGCAAGTTCACAGTAAGCACTGGTCCAGGTGTTCATCTTCTTTATTCTCATATAAAATACTACAATATTTGTTATTATATTATTTGGAATGTGTAGTTACAATGTAAAGTGTTGCCTTTCTTTAAGATATAATACATTAACTTCTGACATTTCAGACTTTTTCTTTTCTTTCTTTTTTTTTTGGTCAGATTGACAAAAATATTTTTTGTGTATGCCTCAGAATTTTATTTTATTTATTTTTATGTTTTTATTATTTCTTTTTATTCTTACTTTACTTGGTATTCTTTTTAAAAGTTCGTTAATGTTATTAAAAATATTACATATGTCTCCTTTTCCCCCCATTGACTTCTCCCAGCCCGCCCCTGCCTCCCTGCACAGGCCTTCACCCCCCGCTATTGTCTGTGTCCATTGGATATGTCTATATGCATGCATACAAGTCATTTGGTTGATCTCTTACCCTCCCTTCTCACCCTCTCTTTTCCCTCTGAGGTTTGATGGTCTGTTCGATTCTTCTATGTCTCTGGATCTGTTTTTGTTCATCAATTTATGTTGTTCATTATATTCCACAAATGAGTAAGCTAATGTGATACTTATCTTTCTCATACTGGCTTATTTCACTTAGCATAATGCTCTCCAGGTCCATGCATGCTGTTGCAAATGATAAGAGTTCTTTCTTTTTTACAGCAGCGTAGTATTCCATTGTGCAGATGTACCACTGTTTTTTCATCTATCCATCTACTAATGGGCACTTAGGCTGTTTCCAAATCTTAGCTAGTATAATTGTGCTGCTATTAACATAGGGGTGCATACATTCTTTGTGATTGGTGTTTCTGATTTCTTGGGATGTATTCCTAGGAATGGGGTTACTGGGTCAAATGGGAGTTTCATTCTTAATTTTTTGAGGAAACTCCATAATATTTTCTACAGTGGCTGCACCAAGTCTGCATTCCCACCAGCAGTGCAGAAGGGTTCCCTTTTCTCCACATCCTTGCCAGCACTTATCCTTTGTTGATGATAGCCATTCTGATTGGTATGAGGTGGTACCTCATTATCTCTCGGATGATTAGTGACTTTGAACATTTTTTCATATGCCTCATGGCCTTCCTTATGTCCACATTTGAAAAGGGTCTATTTAGGTCCTTTGCCCATTTTTTGATTGGATTGTTTGTCTTCCTTTTTTTAAGTTGTATTAGTTCCCGATAAATTTTGGATATTAAACCCTTATTGGAGATAACATTGGCAAATATGTTCACCCGTGCAGTGGGCTCTCTTGTTTTGTTGATGGTTTCTTTTGCTGTGCAGAAGCTTTTCATTTTGATGTAGTTCCATTTGTTTATTTTCTCTTTAGTCTTCATTGCCCTAGGAGCTGTGTTGATAAAGATACTGCTACTACATATGTCTGATATTTTGCTGCCTATGGAGTCTTGTAGGATTTTTGTGGTTTCCCATACATTTAAGTCCTTTATCCATTTTGAGTTTATTTTTGTGTATGGTGTAAGTTGGTGATCTAGTTTCATTTTTTTCTATGTATCTGTCCAATTTTCCCAGCACCATTTATTGAAGAGACTGTCTTAATTCCATTGTACGCTCTTGCCTCCTTTGTCAAATATTTATTGAGCATAATGGCTTGGGTCAATTTCTGGGTTTTCTGTTAAGCTCAATTGGTCTATATGTCTGTTCTTGTGCCAGTACCAGGCAGCTTTGAGAACAGTGGCTTTGTAATATAGCTTGATATCTGGTATTGTGATCTCTCCAACTTTGTTCTTTCTCAGGATTGCTGCAGCTATTCCATGTCTTTTTAAATTCCATATAAATTTTGCAGAATTTGGTCTAGGTCTTTGAAATATGCCATTGGTATTTTAAGGGGATTGCATTGAATCTGTAGATTGCTTTGGGTAGTATGGACATTTTAATGATGTTGATTCTACCAATCCATGAACACTTTATATCTTCCTCTAGCTCTTTTTTCAATGTCCTGTAGTTTTGGGAGTACAGGTCTTTTACTTCCTTAGTTAAGTTTATTCCTAGGTATCTTAATTTTTTGTTGCAATGGTAAATGAGATTGTTGTTTTTTATTTGTTTGTTTGTTTGTTTGTTTTTTAGTTTCTCTTTCTGTGAGTTCATTATGGGTGTATAAAAATACCATAGATTTCTGGGTGTTCATTTTGTATCCTGCTACATTGCTGAGTTCATTTATTAAATCTAGTAGTTTTTTTATGTAGACTTTAGGGTTTTCTATGTACAAAATTATGTCATCTGCAAATAATGACAATTATACTTCTTTTTCAATTTGGATGCCTTTTATATCTTCTTCTTGTCTGATTGCTATGGCTAACTCTTCCAATACTGTAGTAAACAGTGGTGAAAGTGGGCATCCTTATCTTGTTGCTGTTCTTAGGGGAAATGGTTTTAGTTTTTGCCCATTGAGTATGATATTGGCTGTAGGTTTGTAATATAAGGCTTTTATTATGTTGAGGTATGATCCCTCTATTCCCACTTTGCTGAGCATTTTTATCCACAAAAGGTATTGGATTTTATCAAATACTTTTTCTGCATAAATTGATACGGTCATGTGGTTTTGTCTTTCAATTTGTTTATGTGATGTATTATGTTTATTGATTTGAGGATATTGTACTAGCCTTGCATCCCCAGAATAAATCACACTTGATCATGGTGTATGATCTTTTTAATATATTACTGGATGCAATTTGCTAATCTTTTTGTTGTTGCTGTTGTTAATCCCCACTTCAGGCACCTCAAGTCTGTGTCTTTCTCCCTGTGCCAAAGCCTTGGGCGAGCGTTTGCAATTGAAAATTCCTATGTTGGGTTTAGAGATTAAAAAGCAAAGACAAAACCAAACCAAAACAACAATGAAACTGCAGGTTTCTCTCCCCCCAGGACCGTGCTGCTCCAGGCCTCGAGCTCAGCCTTTCACAGCTGTGGTCTTGATTCCTTGGCTGCCAGGAGCCCTGTGGCCTTCCCTTTTCACAATTCAGTGTTACACCTGTCGCTAAGGGACACAGCTTTGGTGCAAAGCAGCTTCCTCCTCACCCTCTTGGGCCGCTGGCCGGCTGTCTCTCTCAAGTCCACATCTCTGTTCCCACCATTCTCCAGGCATCCTCTGCCCTTCCTTGTTGTCAATTGTCTCCTCAGCTGTGTCTAATTTGTTAATTCCAGGAGGATGTTCTCCAATTTACTTGTCTTTCCAGTCTGGCCACAGGACGAGGCACACGACATGTCTGCCTATTCAGCCACCATTTTTTCCTCCAGACTTTAATGTTTTATGTGTTTCCCTGGCAGGTTAGTGGCTTGTGCCTGGAAGGATGCAGTTTTGATGGGAATCGACTTTCTGAAAATCAGCATGATTCTCCAAGTGTATCATCAGTTCTCCCTTGTTTTATGGGCTGGATTCCACAGGTAATATATTTTTAGTAGGTACAAGTTTTAAGTTAATTCATTCTTGGATATTTTTTTTCTATTTTCACTAAGATAATATAACGTATACTCACACTTACTTATTTATATATCATTTGTTCATGATATAGATTCTAAAGTTGTTCTAATTTCAGTTCAATGCTAGTGGTTAAATTAATATAGGTCTAAATTAAGGTTTCCCTAGGGGGTTTTGTCCATAAAGCGCATTGACTTTCTCCAAAATATATCCCAAAAATTATTCTAGATGACATTATTTCATAATGGTTCTTTGTGAAAAATTGTTCACTAAGTTATTAAACAAATTTAATAACTACAGTATTTCCTGCCCTTGGAAATTCATGATGTATTTGAGAATATGAAATAATCCGAAGAGTGCCAAAGATTACCTAACACACTTTTTCTTGCACCTACATCCCACCCTTCATCTGGAGCTCCTGGTCCACATAATACAGTTAGGGAAACACTGCTTGATCTTATAGGACAGTCTGGGATGATGCCCTGGTTTGACATTCCACAGGATGTCAGTTTGCCTGTGTTCTATCTTTCCAGTAAAGAATGCTATTAGGGTTCATCAGCCCCAGAGTAACAGAGGAGTCCTCAGCCAGCCTGAACCATATTGGACCCAACAGACACAATATTGGATCCAACAGACACAAAATTGACAGTTCAACTCCAGAAAAAATTTCATTTCCAGGGAAAATACTACCATAAATTGATTCCATAAGCCACTCACATAAGCAGCCTATACATTACTTTTATTTTTTAAAATATATTTTTATTGATTTCAGAGAGGAAGGGAGAGGGAAAGAGAGAGAGAGAGAAAGAAATATCAGTGATGAGAGAGAATCATAGATCAGGTGCCTCCTGCATGCCCCACACTGGGGATTGAGTCCTCTACCCGGCAGGTACCCTGACCGGGAATAGAACTGTGACCTCCTGGTTTATAGGAAGACACTCAACCATTGAGTCATGCCAATCGGTCTATATACATTACTTTTATATATGTTAATATACTAGTATTATCAGCATGTATATTGGAAGATATATGCTGCCTTGTGTGCACTCTGATTTTTAAAAAATGAATATTTTAATTACTGTCTTTTCTACATCATAGTATTTTTTTCTTTAAGGATTTATGAAGACAATGTTGTTAGACTCGTGTTATTGAAAAATATGAGGGAAGTATTTCTCTACCAAAATACATTGTAAAAAATAATGTAATAAAGAAATTGTTATGACATTCTTGACAGAACAAATTCTCAAAATACTCATTGTTGGAAAATTGAGTTGAAATTGGTAAAATAGTTAACATAATTAAACTAGGTAATTTTGTTTTCTTTTTGGGGGATTCTTTTGTTTGGCTTTTGTTTTATTTTGTTATTTTCTTTGATTTGTTGGCTAAATGATACCTAATATCACCACTTGCCTTTGTCAGTGCATTGTCGTCTTTCAAATAGTGGCCTATTGCCTGGTATTTGTAGTACGTATGCACTTTTAAGTTACTTTCCCATGGGCAAGAGTATGAAATTTCAAATGTTAGCCTCATTATTGACTGAGCTAACTGGACCATTTTCTGTTTTAATAAAGTAGGATATATGAACACATTAACCATTTAAGATTAATCATAATATATAGATTTTAATTGTTAAAATTTATTTACATCAAACTAACTTGTTTACATGATCTATAAGATGAATTATTTGAAGTCTTCCTAGTATATCTGCTATTTAGCATTAATTGAGCATTTAATATATTTGGTAATAGTTATTAATAAAAAATTTTAGTTTCATCCAAATATTTCAGCCTAGTGGGGCCTTATGTTTTGTCTGTAATATCTTTAATAAACATATTAAAGAAGGTTCTGTGTCATAAGAATGTAATTTAGTTAAACAACATTCATGAAACTTCCAGCAGCACAGGTATTGTGCTAACAGTGAGAATGCCCATGTACTAGCTCCACTACTGTGATAATTTATTAATTGGTGACCTAAGAGCAAGGCTATTCAACTTTTTTTTACAGAAGATTATAACATTTAAAAGATTTTGAGAAGTGATAAGCAAAATCTTAAGAAATAATTGCGGTGTTTTACTTTTAAAATACTGTAGGTTTTGATGTAAATATTTTAACCCTCACTTTAAACAAACAGAAACACCTACAACCCAAAGCAGGTTTAAAAAGATTTGGAAATATATACTGAACCAGTAAATTGATAGTGAATACACAAAGAAACAACTTTGCATTACTGTTAAGTTCCTAACTTAAAGGGAAGGTGGCTTGGCATTAAAATGAAGAAAGATAGAGAAAATCTCCTGAAGAGAAAGGAATAAATAGCATTGTAAAACATTTCAATATGATGTTTCTGTTTTCACTTTTGACCCTGGAAGCTATGGGAAGCAAAGCAAATATCAGGTGGTAGAAAAAGATAATTTAAGACTTTTCCTGGGCATATAAATTGTCATTCATAGATTCAGATAATTTCGGTCCAACAAATATGTAATGTTTGTCTGCTATTTGCTAAAGAATTTAAAAGCAGCACTTCAAAAGAAACCCTGCACTAGGATATTAACTTTAGGAATGGCTAAGGTGTTATAAAAATTACAGAAAATTCTGAATCCTAAAGCTTTGCCATTTAAGCAGAATTGGAGAAGAGGGAAGAGATTAGGCAGTAACTAATAATGGTTGAAAATTCCCTTTACTTCATATCCTACACTTTTTTCTGAGGCCCAACCAGGATTCTATTCTCTCTATTAATTCTTGTTAGATTAACATATCCCAGAGTAGTATTTTGTTTCCTGAGGTAATTATTTTTCCAAAAATTATATACTATACATTTCATGTATATATTGTTTCCTAAGCTAAATTTTAAGCTTCAAAGAAGGCTATTATTTTCTCTATCTGAATAGACATGAAATGCTTAGCCTGTATAATTCTAGACACAGCATTTTCACATAAAATACTGTTAAATGAATGCATGAATAACTGACAGAATCTTTAATACAAACCAAGAGAAATTAGAAAGATTCAGGGTAGATGGTGTTTTATCTATTTGGGCAATGATTCTTCATAAAGAATGAATTTTATTATATGCAAATCAGATTAAGATTTAGGAATGTTAGGAATAAATGAGTTTTCAAAAGGACTTAAGTAATTTTATATATCAAGAACCAGAAAAGTCAGACAGTATTTGAGAGAGAGAGAGAGAAAGGGAGAGGGAGAAAGGGAGAGGGAGAAGGTAATAGAAATTTCATATAGTGCCCACTTAGACGTAAAATAATATTTTTTCTTGATGGAAATATTTAAAATAATCGATTTTCATTTCTCTTTATTCTAGTGCTATCTGTGACGTGTAGTAGATGCTAAAATGCTGGGATTTTTTTCTAGTTGATTTGAGAATTAGTAGGGAATAAGGAAAAGGCATGTATATGCAGTTTAAAGAATTAGAGATATGTGGATAAATAATACTTTATATTGAGCTGTTAGATACATTATCAATTCTTTCAGCATTCCATTAGGTGGACGAGTGTTGTAATCTCTCTTTCATCATAGCCTACTTAGGTCAGGAGCTCCTAGACAAGTACTCCAGAGCCCGAAAATGAGTTATTTCCATAAATGCTATTGTCTTCTATTCTGACAAGCAACAGAATAACAGAGTATTTAGGTGCTAATATTCATATGCCAAAACTTTTTTTCAACTGCACTATCTATGACAACTTTGCTGCTTCCTAACTAGGTTGCCATGGTGAATTCTCTATGGCTTTCTGATTTGTCACTTTTAAAATTTTTAAATGAGTTTAACTTTGAAGTTTCACTCCAACTCTAAAAAAATAAGTAATATTCCATTAGATGAAAACAGTTATATAAGTTCAGTAAAAACATTAATCCTAGATTAAAATTAGAAACACTATTATGAACTTGTGATTTTTAAAAATTCATATTTCTAATCTCCAGTCACTGAAAAATCCTAGAAAAATGATAGACCATTTCTAGCCCAGAACCCAGATTATGATCTCTAATACTATTTCTCATTAAAAGAACCAAAGATCTTCAGAGTATGAACAACTGGGTTCTGGGACAGGAAATATAAAAGACGAGCTTACATCATATTGACATACTGGAAAGCAAGGAAGCTATTAAGGATGACAGGGACATAAAAAACCCAGGAGACAAGAGTTCCCACTGCACAAAGATTGACAATTTAAATATCAATAAGATAATCACTGCATCGAAGCTCACCAGTAGCTGCATCAAATCTACTAGTTCACAATGATGTTTTAAAAAAGGAGCGGGGAGGGAATCAGATACCACCCTTAGGGTACACTATGAAATGAATACATTGTTTTAAAAACAAATAAATAAAAGGAAATTAGATAGCATTTATCCAGACTTTATGAATTGTCCCTTGGTAATAAAAAAAAAAATCGGTAAGTAAAAGTTCCTATCTATAGATATACTCCTGCCTGGAAATGAAGAAGGAATAATAGAGTGAAATTATCATTTTATAATCTTGAATGTAATAATGATCACCATGGCTTCTAATATCTAAAAAGGGAGACAACCGACATATATGCTTCTTGATGGATACAGTACCACCTAGGCAGTGTTTTGCCAAAAACTGAATCTGAATATGAGCTTACGCTCAGATCCAGTTTACAAGAGTACAGGGAATAGGTGAACATGATACCATGGGAATGTAGCCAATAAAAGTCAGAATGTGTGAAATCTTTGGTATAGTTTCTTCAGCAAATTGCAAGGAAGGAAAAATCTATAAGTTCAGAAGTCATATCAACAAAATGCTAGTATGGGCTTTATTTGAATTATGGCTTTAATGAAAATATTTTAAATTTATGGGATAATGAGATAACAGATATATGATAATTGATATTTTCAAATATTATAATAGTATTGTGATATTTTTGTTTTATTTCTAGACATATGTATATGTTTATAGATAAAATTTTCTGTGTTGCAGCTGGATGATGGGGGTTTATTATAGTAATCTTTATTTTAAAACACTTCATAATAAAATTTTAAATAAAACTTATTTGGAGGATTTTGTGTTTGTCTTTTTGGTTATCTAATGATTATCTTCCAAACAGTATGTTGCTATATTTTAAAATAAAATTAATTTTTTTTTAAACAGGGTGTGTATGGCCCATATTCCCCTGATGATTGCATATCTTTGCCTGTTTACACAAGTGCTGAAAGGGATCGTGTGGTAACCAACGT